ACGGGCTGCTACTTGAAACAGCCCTCCAGTGGACATCGAGAACCAATTTTTTAGGTTCTGAAGCCAGGAGATTCTTGGCCTGCCAGGTACCATCTTTCCAAATACTTTTTCCTGGATTATCAGCTAAAGCAGCCCGTATCTATCACTATTTCTCGTGATATGACCGAAATATTCCAACTTTCTCTTTTTTATGGTGTTAACAACCTCGACGTTTTTGCGGAGTTTCTCGAGAACTTTTTTGTTGGTTACACGGTCAGCCCAGGAAATTCTGAGAATACGTCGGTACAACCACATTTCGAAGGCCTCGAACCTTTTTGAAGAAGATTCGTCAACGTCCACGATTCAGCGCCGTATAAAAGCACAGAGAGAATATAACATCTGAGTAGTCTTAACTTGGTGTTTAAGTTTAAGTCTCTACTCCTGAACATATTATGAATGCCTATCGCTTAAAACAGGACATGGAAATGTTTGTTATGTAAAGATTTACTTTGTGTTCGTGTGTTAGTGATTATGTAATTGAAGAATTTTAATTTTTAATTAAAAACATAGAAAGAATACAAATACCTAATACATATTTTCCTTGAGAATTCGCTGACCAAATAAATCGAACTTCTAGCAAACATTAATTCTCTTTAATGTTAACATCGTGAAACCCACCTTCAGGACATACGTCAGTCACAGATATTCCACCAATTCTGCACCCGACAGAAACATATGTGTTTAGATTGACGGTTTATCTGTGTTATGGGCAGTCTAAAGCATAGACTCTGCCTTCAATTTCCGGTTCCGGCAACGTTTAAAACCTCAGTTTCAAGTAGAAGACAATCGGAGAGCGGGCAAGCCCCTATCATTATGTATCGTGGCCAAAGCTCCTGTGTATGTTCTCTGTTCATCCAAGCATTTGAAGATGGCTATCCTCTAGGTTCCTGGGTCGTGTACTCCGGTAGACCCCTCTGAAACGCCTACCGGACTACACGGAACAACTACCCAGGAGACAGCCATCTTCAGTTTAAGCATCCCTTAAATGAGGTGGAAAATTTCCTTCAAGCACTGTACAGCCACGGAGCAAGTCATGTATGTTAATCTAGACTGGTCTTTTCCGGGACTGGGAACTTTTTTGGAGACAGATTGTACTTTTGGAAAAACAATACGCACATATTCAGGATTTTGTCTCCTAGTTTTTTAGTCGTATCTGCCACCTGTGTACTCGGTTCTGAAAACAAATTTAGGAAATCCTCTGAGCGCCCCACTCAAACCCCACTGGCACATTGCTGTTCGTGCTTGATCGATGCTGAGTCCCTAGAAAGGAATTTTTTTTATCTTCAGGAACAGACAGAAGTCCTTGCGGGTATGTAGCCACGTCGTCTGCTTTATCGGTGAAAAATTCAAGTTCACATAAAAAGCGCAGTGTCAGAAACACAACCTCTTCGCGTGCTCTTCAAATTGCGACTGACGGCAGAACCGAGATGAAGCTTAGAAGTGGTGTGTGGAAGAGTTGCCAACTTCTGACAGGGAAAATTCACGACAGCAAGCGAGGGAAACCAGCTTTTGCAATGCATACCATATATCCATCACTCGATGAGTTTCAGGTTCTAACGGCATGTTGCAATGCGTAGTCTGGTAGAAATTTTCCGACGTTTCAAAGGTGATTGCTGGTTCCATAATGATCGCTGCGTAAGATCACAGAAAGGAGTGATCTTTATAACCATTTATTTGTTTTAAACCTGCTGCATTTTACACATATTCTATTTTCTTACTGTTTGTTTGAAGACGCCTTTCCAAGTGAATAGATTAGGTCTATACGTCATGAAAATTAAAGTTAAAAGTACAGAATGAGCTTGAAAGGATGCGAAAGAATCAGTCTCATCTTGCTGCATGGCAATAACTTAGCATTTAATTGTAGGAGCAGACAAAATACAAAGTATAAGTCCGTATTTGTGGTTTTCGGGCAATGAGACTAAAATGCCATATCGGGAATGAGAAATGGGTGCTAATGACGTTGCGTTTTTCGAGAAGGTTGTCTAAAAAATGTTAATTCTGGTCTGAAACGAAGAAGCAGAAATAACTTGAGTCAGAAATTAAAGTGTCGCTTCGCGGTTAAATTTTATCACTGGACGCAAATGCATATAAACTAAAATAATGCAAAGTATGCTTCATTGGACAACGCAGCTTAAATTATCAAGTTTTTTAAAAAATGTAACCCGCGTGATTCCAGATTGACGGCAGTTAATTATTTGGAAGGCGTGCTTCCTTGTAGACAAGACACCGCGTGTCGTGAAATGTGCAGCCGACGTGGAACATCGGCTCGCGAGAGGGGTTCTGTGGAATTGTTTATTTCCGGTGCAATTTCCTGAATCCTGGGATGTGGACAGTCAGGCATGCAGAGCGGGGAGTGCTGGGGGGCAGACGACGACGAAAAACAAAATGGAACTGTGGAAATTCAACATTCTTGATTTCATTTAATTTAATAACATGGTAATGAGAAATACTGGATATTCATAAAGAACTTACTCATATATTAATCAGTTCTCTTTTTCGTTAGCTCTCAGAATTACTTGATAAAAGACAATTTCCTTGTTATCGAATTACTTAAAATAATAAATTACTGGTAAGATGCATTTTTCTTGTGGACCTAATAACATTTGTTAGCCCAGCTAAGATTCTGCTAATGAAACTAATCGAGTTCAACCATTTCAGTTCCAACAGACTCCAACATAAAATGTAGTTCAAAACACTTTCACAAATTTTGCAATATCAGTGTCATTTGCAAAGAATATGTTGTAATAAATTGTTTTACTCCTAACTCAACCAACGTTTATCACACAATTAATCCAGGTTTAAACCGTGATATAAAGTTAAATTAGTTATGTACGTAATTTTATCATGGCATAATAATAGTGATGCTTTCGCTAGTAGCTGCAGATTTTTGAATTCGTAAATAAACGCTCACCACAAAGAGCGTCATTAGTTGCGGGAGGAAAGATCAAAAATTGACCTTCGATCATGGTTTCCGATTTTCAGTACAAGTAAAATAATTAAATATTACAGTTTTATTTCTTCAATGACTTTCGCTTTCAGATGACCTAATTTTGACGTGAAAAGGTCCATTATTCGTGACTGAACATTGAATCTAATTAACGATCAACTGAAAATAATGAAATATAAGTAATTTTAAACATAATAGAAAACTGAAGTACTTTGGAACACAGTGGGCCCCTTTCAGTATTCGATATACGCCTAACAATTACTAAGTTTAGGAAACTTGAGACTAAATAATATAAAAAGGAATTATGACAGTTTAAAAAAAATGTTTCTGTACTTACCATCTGCATTTCCTGCCGGTCCCATACGGTGGATCAAGGCTGTTTATTCCCTTTCACAATTCATAACCAGCGGTCTTCAGCAACCTATAAGAAATGTAGGGCTTTAGTACCAAAGTAAAGGTTTGTTAAACTTTCGACAAACAAAAGAAACATAAAGACGAACACAAATGCAGGAATAACATTATTAGTATTGAATTAAATAAAAAAAAGTATTTTCGAAACATTCTCTTATTCTTGAAAAAATTAACAGTTTTGAGTCGTATTCTGGAGGCACCAAGTTCAAATCCCGGCCCAGAGGTTGGCTACGCTGACTGATACATTTCATGGTCCCTTCAAGCAAATTCTGGGATATTACTTGCAAGAAAAATAGTTTTTGACTAAGCAAATCCGTTTGTCATCTGTGGAGTAACTACTAATATGACAACACATTCACAGGCCTATGTGCAATAAGCGAACATTAGGACAAATAAATTGTGAACAATTCGTAAAAAACAAGTTTTTAAAATGTGTACTCCTATAGAGTACACCTTTCCACTCATGTAGATCTTGAGATATGGACGGAAAAACAATAACCTCCTTCAAAATCCGGTCCTGACATCTTAATACAAACCCGTCGCGTTTCCGGTTTGTTAGAACCAACCACATCAGTCTTCATATCAATCAAGTGCTGCCTAGAAGTTGAGGATATTATGAATGTGTGTCTTAATGTAACAGTTCCCACGTTAATGTTGGTAAAGGTATTTCGGGCCATGTTATATATTACTTATGACCGTGTTCACTACTTCAAAAATTTCCCGTCATTATTGACGGGCAAGTTACTGGTGCAAATCAGAAAATACGATTAAACAGAATCAGTTTTCTGTGGTATACGCATGTCCAACGAGAGTGTGGACTTTCTTGTGTCCTGTCAGGTTTTAACTCATGAACGCCACTGTTAACGGAGAAGGGCCAAGAAGGGCTTTGCCCAGGGATTACCTCACGTCTCCTACGTTGTCACTGCAGTTTCCCCGGTCTTGTTGAACCCCTTGCCGATGGTCCACGTCCTGGAAACGCGGGGGGTGGGAGGGAGGGTCTTTAATCTCCGTCTCTGGAAAGGATCGCTGGGAGTACGGACTTGACAACTTCAGTCCAGTAATTAATTGTCTCGTAAGTCCCTTCATTTTTCTGGGATTTGCATACCCATTTATCAATACCAATGCGTTTCCTCTCTATTATTTTTCCTTTCATTTCTTTCTTTCATTTATTCTGTTCACTCATTTTTCTATCTTCCTAGCCAACTTATTATTTTTTTCCCTTTTCAAACAATTCACTGTTCTTACGTAATTTACGCTGTTGAAAAACATTTTCAGAGCCCCCTTTATATTGCTGTAAACTAAATAAACAAATGTTTTCACTGCCTTCTAAGAAGTAAATTAATTGGCAATTAGTTTCAATTTCTATGAGACTACATGACGCACCTTCCAAGGAGACAGTAAACTTAAGTTCGCTGCCGTGAGAACCTGAAATCTCGCACAGTAATAATAATATTGAAGTTACTGTCGGTAGTATAGTGGTGACGTTTACTACTACTACTAATACATACAATGACAATAATGTGCTATACACTAACAATATTATTGTATAAATGTTGTCAGCGTCAACATTATTAAGCGTGACTGATGCTAACAGATATATTTCACGAATCAGGTTCGCCATTGCTGTAAATTAAAACTGGTCGTTAAATACTAATTAAAACTGTGTTTATGTTCAGAGTATTTTGCAATTCGTCAATTTAACATCCAAGCCATTTAAAACACGAATTGGATTATTTACAAATCTCAGTCCCCATAAAACGAGGGCTACTACATTCCTGTACGTAGACCTACCACGGCACTCGAAAGTAACGGGGAATCTGACCTCAGTTTTTAATATTTACTTTGATATTTCACTTGGGTAAAGTATGCTATATATACATGCATATATATATATATACACATATATGGATAAATAAATAAATAAATAAATGTGTTTGTGTGTGTACGCATAATTTTTTTTCTGATATCGCCGAACTGTTCATTCAAGAGATCTGAAATACTTTCCTGAAATATATTTTAAATCGTCTAAAGAGCTTACTAATACGTTTTAACTTACTCTTTCGCAAAAGACACTCTGAAATACATTACTGTACTGAAAGGATCGCAGTACCGTGTTGAAATGACTTTACTTCGATTCAGATTTGTTTACTAAATCAGAATGAGCGAGCTACAAACCTATTTTAGGGGAATTTGAAGTTACTGTTTTGTAGTTTGATCGTGTATCTTTTATTTGTAATTTCATAATAAATTACTTCTATTAAAGCTATAAAATTTATTGACGATACGTTATATTTTATATGTCAATGTATGGCAAAACCATATTTCATGCTTCTGAGTGAATTGTGTTTTAAAAATTCTTCTAGCATTAATTTTTTATTTCGCATACTAAACATTTTCGTACGCTACGTACGTCCGCTGTTGTGTTCACAGCTTGTAAAATATGCAATTTACTTAAATATTGCGAGTTTAAGTCCTGATGGACTCGTTCTGTCCAAGGATAAGCAACACGTAGCAAGGTAGTAGCATCTCGCACGACAGTGCATAGCGTCCTATTTCTTACCAAAACGAAGAATATCAACAAATACAAAATGGAAGAAAACCCCAAAATAGTCAGCGTTACATTCAAATTCGCAATCAGACTACGTCCTGACAACGAATTGCTCCGGGCATGTGATGTTCTCCTGTCAGTCACGATTTGCATCCTATCAGATCACACAATTAATGCTATTGTTGGCCTGAAAATTACATTCTAGCTACATGCTCAAGAGCAGTTGAAGTTTTAATTGTATTTGTCAAATTCCGTACGTTCATTTTGGTTCACATTTATAGGGATGCATGTCGATGTCATTCCAATGTCTGACGCCCTAACTACGTATTACATTGCTACAACTATTTATGATGATGACGTTAACAGCAACAACAACAACAACAACAATAACCTCGGCCTGGAGGCTGGCAATTCTGACCGAGGTATTTCCTGGTTTTCCTCAATCCCAAAAGGCAAATTAGGAGACAATACGAAGATTTCTGTCTTCTGGGTTGTTGTGCTGTGTAGTCTGGTCGATGAATCGCCCTGATGACGGAGGCAGTATGACCTCTGAAACGTTGGTTAACATCGACCAGACTACACAGCGCAACAACCCAGAAGACAGAAATCTTCAAATACAGTGGTATTTGCTATGAAGTTAGGCAATTAAATATTTAGCGTCTCTTCAGAAACACTCAACACAAAATATCAGTAAACTTTCCTGTTACATATTCAACTATAATGACAGTAGTTCAGTGTAAAATTTCCTTCACAGAGTTTAAACTGTGGTTACAATAATCGATACGAACAATGTAATACAACTTACATCACTAAAATGCGCTGGCTTATTGTTTCAACCTACAACCTCCCATCTTCAGAACGCAACAATTTTCTGTGTCTATTAAGTTCTTCTGCAAGAATAGCAAATTCCACCATCACTCTCAAATTCGAGGCTACAGTTCTGATATGCTGAAAGCGTCCTTAAATAAACTGTAAATAAATAAACATCGATAATAAAAACCACTGGAAATAAAATTAATCAGACCGTGGTAATTGGCCTTTTCGCATCCCTTTTGTCTCGACGTTGCGACTTTGTGCTAGCAGCACTCAAATGGCATCCGTTTAATTTCGCTGCTGGTAGAACCCCTTCGCTCAGGTTTCCTCTAGTCGCTCGTTCACTCGGACCTCCCGATGTGGCGCTAAAGCTGGCAGGCGGAATGCAATCACAGAGGTGACAAGAACTAATGTCAGTATGACCGCGTGTCTGTCCAACCAACCGGCAGACCGGGTCCACCACATGTTCCCGAAAACATGCCCCCGTACCAGAACCTTCGACTCGAATCGAGGGCCGGGAAAATGCAAACAGCCCAGAGAACAGATTCAGTGGCGGATTCACACCGTGGCATTCAACATCTGGGGCAACGGACAGTCTTGTCCTAGAATAAGTACGTCTAAGTTAATACTCACTGCACCGAACTTCAAATGTGGTCACTTTTAAGCGGACTATTCACATACGAACATGCCCATTGACTTCTTACGTCGTCACATACGTACAACATTATTAACCTGACTGAATCGAACTTCAGTGCATGGCGTACTGATGACGGAGGCAGGAAGCACATCTGAAACGTCGGCAAACTTCTTCCAGAATACACGGCGCGACATTCCAGAAGACACACATTCTCAACACAAACTCAACGAAGTATATTCCGTCTAAACAAACCGACAGACAGACATTCAACTGATCATATTTCCGGAGAGCCGTAGATTAATTTCATTAGCAGCCGCCACTGCGAACAGCGAAGCTGTAACATGCAAACAAGTAAAGAGTTAAGTAGTTGGAGGGACCGCCCTTGGATTACAATGAGAATGAGTGAGGGATGTTAATAAGACATGCAACAACACCCAAAATAAGCCAGCCATTTATATCCGTTTTCTACCCCCCCCCTCCCAAACAAAACTCTTTTCTTTTCAACTACCTACGTACTATAGTCAGTCAACCAGCTAAATTCTGAGAGGGCGTTACCCGAAATACCGTCTACTGTCATGCAAATAGATAAATCCTACTGTTAGTGATGCTGCCAAGCTGCCAACTGTGACCTTTAATTGTGCAGTATTTAAAAAAAAGACTGTATTCTATCCAGCCAACCCCTTCACATAAACTCCTCAGCTCATTTATTCACTTAAAATAAAAATAATTACAACTATATCTCGTGCTCGAAGTGACTCGTATAATTTAGTGAAAGAAGGTCCACAAAATTAATAAAACTTTTTACATATAATATTATAAAGAAAACTAGGAATGCGGCGGCTATGGAGTACAATGGGGTACTACTGTCTTCACGAATTATCAACCCATCATAAAGATAGGAGTTCAGGAGGAAGGAACATTAGGATGATACGCTCTGCACGTTCTCTATTTAATATCACAGTCCAAAATAGAAGTTCCAGCACGTTAAGTGTAACAATAGAGCAAATATCTT